TTCATGGACATGACAATCACCATCACACATGACAACAAAACGGTCACCACACTGTATGACAAACCAACCAACTTGTATTCTACATCTCATCCCACTCCTGTCACCCACCAGGCCTCACTGTCTGGAGTCGGTGTATTGCAACCTCTTTCGGATCTACTAACACTCTGCTCTGAGGAGACTGACAGGCTCGCCAGGACACAAGCTCTTCTTCCAAGAGTCTCCTGGCCAGGGGCTACAAAGCCACCACATTAGGCCCCTTTTTGAAGCAGCCAATCACCAGGCAGGGGCCTCACACTGGCCCCAGCCCTAACAACAACAAGCAGGGACACCATGGGAATACCAGCTGCTGCACCTGGAATACCATCCACAAGATCCCCCATCAAAGTCTTACAGCAAGGCTGGAGGATTGCATTGCCAATCCCATGAACCTGATGCCCTTCAATCATGTCCGGATCCCACACCAGTGGGCCCCATCGCGAGGCAACATGCCAATGGGACTGTGATAGGATGATTGTAGCCTAACTCCAGGCCCCCCAATCTTGGCAACCTGCTGTCCTACAGGAAGTTCCAGAACTAGATGGCTCCCCCGTCCATCCTTTCTGGATTAGAGGCTTTTCGGGGAGCCAGGCACACCCACCCACACAACACACCATGACAAACACCTACACACACACACACACACGCATCCAGCCCATCGAGTTATTGGATTTACGGTTTAGATTAGCTTGGTCTTCGTTCTAACCGTACCAGCTCCTATGTGATCTATTTTCGAAATCACCACAAAACAGGGTACCCTTAGCTTTTTTTTTTTCTTTTTCAAGCCTACCCCGGCTTGTATCTTTTGCCACCCCAGCTTGCTCCACTGAAGAAGACAAACAGCAAAATTCTTAAGCCCGCGCGTACTAGAAATTGGAAATCAGCAAGACAACGGTATAAACCCTCCATGGATAAACAATAAATGGTAGATTTTCGTCGGTAGATTAAAAGCCTTATTAGTGTCTACAAACCAATCTCACACACAGGATTAACATCAACATCCTCACACAGCACTCAACGTACACAAACACGCTACACACCACAACATCACAAACATCATCACACAAGCACTCAAACGAACACACAAACCTACACAGACACACACACAGCACACACACATCCCCAGCTTGCTCCACTGATGAAGCAAACAGCGAAATTCTTAAGCTCAGAATTTGGAAATCAGCAAGCAAGGTATACCCCATGGATAAACATCCAATGGTAGATTCATCGTAGATTAACTCCTAGATAGTGTCTACACACACTCACACAACACACACAACATCACACATCCCACACACTAACGTACACACACCTACAAACACACACACACATCCAGCCATCGAGGTATTGGATTTACGGTTAGTTTAGCTTGGTTTCGGTTTATACCGTCCAGCTCCTATGTGTCTATTTCAAAATCACCACAAACAGGGTACCTTGCTTTTCTCACAGCCTACCCGGCTTGTATCTTTTGCCATCCCCAGCTTGCTCCACTGATGAAGCAAACAGCGAAATTCTTTAAGCTCAGAATTTGGAAATCAGCAAGCAACGGTATACCCATGGATAAACATCCAATAGTAGATTCTGTCGTAGATTAACTCTTAGTAGTGTTCTACACACATCTCACACAACACACACATCTCATTCACAAACACTCAACGTCACACACACCTACACACACACACACAAACACACACATCCAGCCCATCGAGTATGGTTTACGGTTTAGTTTAGCTTGGTTTCTGGTCTATACCTACCAGCTCCTATGTGTCTATTTTCGAAATCACCACAAAACAGGGTACCCTTGCTTCTCCTCACAGCCTACCCGGCTTGTATCTTTTGCCATCCCCAGCTTGCTCCACTGATGAAGCAAACAGCGAAATTCTTAAGCTCAGAATTTGGAAATCAGCAAGCAACGGTATACCCCATGGATAAACATCCAATGGTAGATTCATCGTAGATTAACTCCTAGTAGTGTCTACACACATCTCACACAACATCACACATCTCACACAGCACTCACGTACAAAACCTACACACACCTACACACATCTCACACAACATCACACATCTCACACAACACTCAACGTACACACACCTACACACACACACAAGAATCTGATAAAGTTCAAAAGGCCCTTCAGCTTGCTACTACCAGGTAGTAGTACTGGCTAGCTCTAGCCGGTAGTTGAGGCAAAAGCTCCGAGCTCCGGAACCTTTCGAAACCCCTGTGCAATCACTGACGTCAGTCACGAGCTTGACTAAATGCACCTACCCGCCACGAGAACCGCACGAACCTTGGAAACCAAGGATCGGCATTTGGGGAAGCGAAACCCGTCCCTTTGCAAATTCACAGTCGATGATGTGGTCAGGACAGGCTTCAGGATTGGGAAGGGCTCGGTATCTATTTCCAGAAACCACAAAATTCCTTTTCCTCTTCTCGAAACCATCAAAACTAACCTGCAGTATACTAGCTTGCAAAATGAGGTATTCTATCGCCCTTTTTATGGCTTTGTCAGTGGCTCAGAGTGATGCTTTCTTGCCACAAAAGTTGCCCACTTTGACAAAAGCTCCCGCCACCTCTCTTCACATGGCCGTTCCGGCTCAATCGGTGTTTTTAACTCCAGAAACCGCCAAGGCATGCATCGATTCTGCTGGTGGCAGTCCTGTCTATGCTTATTCTTTGGGAAAATTGGAAGAATCTGCCGACGCCTGCTTGGCATTCCCCAATGCCTTTGGACTGACTGTTCGATTCGCCATGAAGGCTTGTCCCAATCGAGCCATTTTGCAGTACTTCCATTCCAAGGGAATCCATATTGATGCTTCGTCAGGATATGAAGTCCGTCGAGCCGTGACGGCAGGAATCCCTCCAGAAAATATTAGTCTGAGCACCCAAGAATTGCCTGCTGACTTTGCCGAATTCATTGATATGGGAGTCAAGATCAACTGTTGGTACGTAACGTCGTGTGGGCAATACCCTGTTTCTGTTTTCTTTTCTTTCTGATATCTTACAAAATCTTGATTTCTGCCATGCCATTGATTTATCATCACACAAACTATATCATCTATCTTGTGCAGTTCAATCTCACAGCTAGAACGAGTTGGACAACACTACGACGGAAAAGGTCAAAAAGTTGGTATTCGAGTCAACCCCGGCGTAGGTTCAGGTGGGTTTTCTGCTTCTACCACATCCTTTTCCAAAACCAATGTTGGAGGTCCCTCGTCATCCTTTGGAATTTGGCACGATCTTGTGAACGATGGGACTGTGCCGGATATCGTTGAAAAGTATGGCTTGGATGTGGAACGAATTCATACACATATTGGATCCGGCAGTGATCCCAAGATTTGGCAAGAAGTAGCCAAGAAAACTCTCTCCTTTTGCGCGATCTTTCCTGGAGTGACGGCCTGCAATTTGGGAGGAGGATACAAGGTGGGACGAAATGAAGGAGAGCCGACAACCGACTTGCAAGAGATTGGCGGGCCTGTCGCCGATGCTTTTCGTGATTTTGCCGCAGAAAATGGACGGGAGCTGCAGCTGGAGATTGAGCCTGGCACCTACCTTGTTGCCATGGCTGGAGCCTTGGTCAGCACTATTCAGGATAAGGTGCAAACCACGGGCGAGGCCGGTCACACTTTCTTGAAATTGGACTCCGGAATGACCGATGTCCTCCGACCATCTCTCTATGGCGCCAATCATCCGATAACAATTTTGCCTGGAAGCGGAGACAGCGCTGATGTGGGATCTGAGACAGAAAATGTTGTGGTGGTAGGTCATTGCTGTGAAAGTGGAGACTTGATGACACCCATGCCAGGCTCTCCTGAGGAACTGGCCGAGTTTCCTCTACGAAAGGCTGAGATTGGGGATATTTTGGTGATGGACGGAAGTGGAGCTTACTGCTCAGGGATGAGCACCAAAAACTACAACAGTTTCCCAGAAGCTCCAGAGGTTTTGGTGGGAAAGGATGACAAGGTCCATGTCATCAGAGTACGCCAACAACTGGAACAGGTGTACCAGAACGAAGTTAGTCCCGAAGGCATGTTTTGAGCAGATTGATATGCAGGCTATCTCTATGAAATTAATTTCTATGTTAGCAAATACGCAAATACCACGACCATGGTCACTTTTCACTTGACTAAAGCAAGAATGCCTTTTGCTACTTCTAGCTACTAGTTGTTTACATTTAGTTTTTTAAATGTTAGCACAGAATCATTCGCGACAAACTGAGAAGGATGGCTAGATACCGGTACAGTAGAGTGAAGAAGCAGAGCGCTGCATCGATCCCTACTGACAGGCTCTAGCTATAGTACGGACAAGAGATGGATCCCGGGTCACCAATAAAAACACACCAGGATAGAAAAAGATTTTAAGTATTGTGGGAGGCTTATCTAGCTAGAACTATAGGAGAGTGCTGGGAGCCAAAGCATCTGTAGCTGCAATAGCTGTGGAAGAACTAATGTGGATACGTGGTTCGTCGCGGACTGCGGCAGCTTGGATCAAAATCAACAAGTATGGCATGCACTTCATTGTGACGTTGGAGAACCAAGCCGCCCTTGGTACAGGAAAGAGCGTGGGTGCGTGACACTGAAGCCCTCCCCACACTGACACTGAAGCCCTCCCCACACCTATCACAGTGGGTGTGGAGATTGGAGGGACTCCCATCAGAGGGCAGGTGCAGAGCATCGCGGAATTCCTGTTCAGCCTAGAACAGTGCCATCTTCATGAAGCCAGGGGCCAGTCTCCCGGACAAGGTCCTGGAAAACTAGGTGCTGTACCGAACGGCACATTACATGTCGTACCGGTACCGGGAACCTCGAAACGACAAGTGCCCGTGCAAGGATACATGATCGGTACCTGGGGTTTTACGTAGCTTTTGGCGTGCAAGAATCCATGATCGGTACCAGTACCACGTGGTTTTAAGTACTGTAGCTCGTAGCGTACCGCAAATACAAAGCGATCCTCAGGAACTGTATTAGGCAGCAGAGCACACGCAGGAACATTGAGGCCCAGAATCCAAAGACAATTCTTATTCATTCATTCATTTGTTCATTCGAAACAGCACCATGGCAGCCAACAATTCTAAAAAGCATCATGTTGTGCTTGCTCTGATCGCAACACTTTCCGGGATTGTCAAAGCAGACTCACCAGACTCAGTCAAGATATTGGATGTTACTTATGATACAGCAACCACCTCAGACCTTCGTGTCTTCCGAGGAGGCCTTGCTGGAACCATCCCCACTGAAGTTGGTTGCCTTACCGCTTTGACAACCTTGGACTTGGAAGAAAATCTGCTGACAGGACCAATTCCTTGGGAAGTTGGGGCTCTAACAAAGTTGACAAAGTTGGATCTTGACAGCAACCAGTTATCCGGAAGTCTTCCCTCTGAAGTGGGCCTTCTCACTGCCTTGACTGCCTTGACAATTCACGAGAATCAGTTGTCAGGCGGCATTCCATCAGAAGTTGGTTTGCTCACTGATCTGATTACCTTGGATTTGAATAGCAACAAGTTTTCAAGCAATATCCCCGCCGAGGTCGGATCAATGACTTCACTGGAAAATTTGTACCTGAACAAGAACATGCTATCTAACAACATTCCTGAGCAGCTTGGGTCACTTGGAAACATGAGCAGGCTGTATTTGTATGACAACCAGTTGTCAGGCAGTGTGCCCAGTAATCTTTGTTCCAGCTCAGATTTGTATGAGATACGGGTTGATTGTGCTCCAGATGCCTTTCCGGTGGAATGCTCATGCAGTGAATGTAGATGCGACCAAGATTTATCTTCCAGCGCCAACCAAGAAGTATCTTCCAGCCCCAGAGTTGACAATTCTGCAACCACTTTGTTCGGTTTCGGCTTGTTGGCTGCCTGGATGCTCTGAGTTTGCTGTGCTGGCAGAGCCGAATTCTGTTTGGTACAGGTATTTAATCAAGAGTTCCCTAACTAAGGCACCGACTGGAATACATGTGGGTACCGGTAGGTATCATCGCAGAAGCCATGTTATTGGTAGATGACAAAGTAAAACATCAAATAATTATCTTGGCTTTTTTCCAAGGAGTGGGTCGCCCACTACGGTTTGACTTTTTGCTGGGGTGTCAATCAATCGGCTTGGTTTTAGGGTTACAGGCTAAAGCATATGGTACCATACACATAATTCATATGCCCTCTGGGTCGTCTCCGTTTCCAGTACTAGTTTAACCCGTTTACTAATACAGGATTGCGTATGGTGAATAGAATAGAATCGAATCAATCATGTGGCTTATATTTAGGGTTTAGGTTTGGCAATTTTGAAGTCAACGTGGTATATGTGAGGTTGTAAAAGTTTTGTGTGATAGTATGTGTTAAGTGGAGGGTTGGTTCGCTTCCGCTGGGAGCTTGGTGTCTTCTTCTTCCTCTGTTTCCTGCTCTTCTTCGTTACTGAGGTATTCGGTAATAGGATCGTGAGCAAGTTCGGCAGCTTTCTTCATACCATGTGGAATGTCATCATTCTGACTATTCGCAGGTGACACTTTGGCCGACGTGGTTCGTGGAACAGGTGGAACGGGAGATGACGTATTTAGTTGCATTGGAACTGGGAATGGTTTGCGAATAATATTGGGAGGTCCAGTATTAAGGATTTGAAAGTGAGGGCACGGGGGATTTATACGGGAAACTACTGTAGGAGACTTACCACCGTTCTCCTGCTGGTGCTTTTCGAGAAGAGTTCCCAAGAAGGCCTCAAAGTTCATGCCGGGGGGTAGTGCAAAACCATGGGGAAGGGCCAGTGTGGCAGCTTGAAGGCGAACTGGTGGAGTAGGGGTGGGGGCGGGGGTTGGTGTGCGTGCGTAGTGGCTTGTAATAATGTTGCGACGGGCACCAGTGATGGCCCGCATGCGACCGAAGTCCGATGCATCCAAGGTTGTTTCGGTGAAACCAACGGACGTAAGACGTAAAGCCGGGAGTTGACCACGAGGCCAAATAGAGTACACATGGCCCTTGTCATCCTTGAGGAACTCGGATACAGTGCGGTATTCGCCTTGATCGATCCAAGAATCCGTCACAAGGTGAGTCATGATGTCGGAGTGGGTGATCAGCTCACTCCAGGTGTCATGGACCTTGTACCACTTGTTCTGTTCGTCAAGAACTAGGAAGGGTTCATCGTTCTTTGCCGGGTCGTACACGTACTGCATGTAGGCCGGTTTAAAGGTTTCATTGAACCACTTCAAGGCCATTTCTGGGGTTGGGATCTGGGGCAACAAACGTTCACCAGTTTCTTCGTCAATTTCACCTCTGGGGCACATGATAACAAAGCCTCTTTGGTCATAAGCAGTACCGTTGGTGGCCTTGTACATAAGGAGCTTTCCCCCATCAGCAGAAGCGGGGTCCACCAACTTGAATACCCACTCGATCATGTGCTTGTCAGAGAGGGCTTGAACAAAGGCCATCATGTCTTCGGGTTTAACACCGTTGACGGGGTGGTCTTTGCGTCGGTTGTACATACACCCAGTAGCTTTCTTCTTAACAAAGCCTGTGAACTTGAGGAACATTCTGGGGAAGGGGGATTCTTCGTCTTCCTTGAGGTTGCTGGGAATTACAGCGTGGAACCCACAGGAATTGAAAAGACCTCTTGCTTTGTTGCCGCCGCCCTTTTTTTCCTTGCTGTTGATACCCGCGGAAGTAGGGGTACGATTGCGACGACGTGTGTTGATGTCGGGTGTTTGGGAAGACATGGTGAAGGAGTTCTGAAAACTTGAAGTCCGAAAGAGGAAGGTGAGTGGCCATGTTGAAAGGCAAAACATTGTCAAACAGAAGAAGAAGGTAAAATAGAAGGTACTTACGTGGGCAGGAGAGATGGCTGATGGGTTGGCTGCTAGGTAGGATGAGGGGATGTTTCAGGTTTTGCTGAACTGATTTTGTGACTGTTTCAAGATGATCGATGCAATAGGAATGGTTGCATATATACATTTTCAATGCAAAGAAAGTATATATAGAAAGCGGGGATGTCTTCGCCTGAGTGTATTCGCTGATACGATTGAGCGTAGATAGTGTAGCCTGGCTTGTAATGCTATAGTGAAACAGTACACTTGTATCGAAGGGGGAAGGGGCGTTGCCAGCGGAAGTCGTGCACGATACCTTCGCTAGAAATCGCAAGTTTTCGTGGAAAATTCGATTTGAATTATTTAATGGACAGTACCGTAGACACATGAAGAAACCACGTGTGATTGGAGTTGTGTGAAATCCCCCAATTGCTGCCGCAGGGTTTAGGGTATTTGAAACGGTGCATACAATGATATTTTATCCTACCCACCAGATGACTAGAGCGGAGTTGTCTGAAATCCCCAATTGCTGCCGGCAGGATTTAGGGTATTTGAAACGGTCATATAATGATATTTTATCTACCCACCAGATGACTAGAAGCGGGCCCTCACGATTTTGGATTTTCGGGGTATATGTCATCTAAGTGAAAATCACAGCGAGATGGAGCGGGGCGCGATGTAAATGAAAGACGTGGGATTTACTTAAGATCAACATACAGATTAAGAAACGTGGTGCGACTGGCTTCGCTGAAATGAATAAAGATTTGTCACGCTATTTTCACTGTGTGGTTGGGTGTACATAGCGTGATTGCCTATCCAGTGAAGTCAGCTGTTGTATCGTGAAAATTGGATCGAGTATCGATAATAGAGTACAATTTTGCTTCGATTACCACGATGCATACAGCGAAACTGTCTGTTCGAAGAACTGTGGAAGATAGGCTTCGTTCTCACAAAATCCTAATGGCAGGATGTGTTCCTCTACGCAGTGCTTCGTGGGGCTTTCTTTTCTTCTTGGCGGCAGCTTCCATGTCCATGTCCAACTTTGAGCCTTTCGAAATTATCGGCAATGTCAAGACCGTGGAGTGCGTTCAGGCTAACATCAACCGTCGGTATGACAATCTGATGATGATGGATCCATGAACCAAGACGTTTACGCCCTATGTCTGCTCTGTATGCGATGAAACCATCATGCACGAAACAATGTGGAATGGTTGTTCTTCGATCAGTTAAAGAAGGTTCAAGAACATCTACGTTGGGACAAAGTCTTCCAAGATCATCGGAGTACCGTTGTGAAGCTGTTGAAGACTGTACCGCTTTAGGGATCCACTTGCGAGGGTTCTGAAGGGATGTCGAAGATGGCTTGGTGAACTGGCGCTGTCACCAAGTGGAGTTTACGGGAAAAGGCGCAACGGTCGGAAATGGGGCATATCCTGTTGCAAAGGATGTCACGGGAAACTGAAGAAGGAGAAGCCTGAAACGCCACTATATGCTATTGTCAACAGCAACTTTGTTGGATGTGCACCTGATATTCTCAAGGAATTAACAGAAGTCGAGATGGCTTTTATTACTCTAGTGAAAGCTTACGGGTACTGTTTTTCCTATGTTGGCGGAAGGATGAAAACTTTGAAGGGGATCATGACCTTTATGCGCGTAGACTACAATGTGATTTGTCGTGCAACGGCACATCTAGAAGCAATGGCCTGAACAAGAATGTCGTGTACTGCTATCAGGGAAGATGACGCCAGACCAGAAAAAGAAGGCAACTCGGGAGTATTCGTACCGACAAGATCATGGCTGCTGTGGAATGGCTTGTACAGAATAACCGGAGCTGGAACCACGTCGATCTTTGATGCGTACCGCAGAGAGTTAGAGGTGTGACACCTGTGATAGTGGATCGCAAACATCTAAGAAGCGCATTTGGGCAAAGTGGATATTATGGGGAAGGTGCACAAAACGCTGGATCAAATTTTAGCGACTCATTTATGTGGGTCCTTATCATGTCGAAGGGCATTATTTTACCCACATACGCCAAATCATTTACTCGTTCACAGCTCATATTGCCCAAATGAACAAACATAATGTCCCTGCGAGTCCGTCATATTTTTGTGGAAGTGCGTTGAAAAAGTGTGCTCTCGTACAGAGATCTGGCGGTACGCCCCTTTATGCACGTGCGTGGATATTTGGCGAAATGCCTCCAAAAAGTGAGCTTGGGTAAGTGATAGGACGGCACGTAGCTTTGCCGCGAGTCCCCGGACATTTTGCGCAAGTGCATACAAATGTGAGCACAAGCCGCAAAGGGCATCACAGAATTTTACCCAATGGCGCTGAAATCGCATGCAAGACGCCAAAGATCCCGTGCACAACCGACACAACCATACCTAAATTATCCGTCATTACTTTGCCCCAGTGAACATGACTACGACAACAATGACAAAGCAGTTAACAACTAGATAATCGTTAACTTAGTTATTAGCTCAGAGAACAGTACCATTTAGTAGGAGAGGCAATAGAAAGCAGGGCTGAGCAGAAATGTCTTTGGTTTTTGCAGAAACAGTTCGCAGAAAGTCACAGGAACGTGACGCAAACACTGCAGAAGAAATGTCAATTGGATGAACAGATTTGCGACTTGCCCAAACCTTTTTCAAGAAACCAGGCCAGAAGATCCATCAGAGGCCGAGAAATGCCAAATGGGCCAAACAAAGATGCTCTCACATGTATGCATCGTCATCTTCATCGTCCAAGGTGTAACCGTCTTGGCCTTTTTAGCCTGGAGCGGCTCCAAGGCGTTCTTGGCTCTGCGCTTGTTTGCCTTGTTGAGTTTCAGCTTTTGCTTGTGGGAGCCACAGGTGTGGCCATTTGCAATGCGCAAAAGCTCCAGAGTCTTCTGCCCCAGACTGATAATGCTGCCCATGTGGGCACTGGAATGGGCCTCTTTCACTTTTTTCTTGTATTGGTTGTAGGCTTCCAAACCATCAGCTTCCCAAGCAGTATGCTCGCTTTGGCCAGCATCAACATTGGTGTACTTCCCTCCTTTGATGGGTTGGGCCTCACCTGGGTGCTCCTTGACCCATTGGTGCAGTCGGTCCACTTGGCTTCATTGTTGTCCCAAACAACAACAGCCTTGGCCTCATGGTGAGGGGTGAAAATGGGGTTGTTGGTGCTCGTTTTGCTTCGCTGATGGTCTTGTAGACATAACATTCTTGCCCCAATCAATGGCTCCGAAGACCTTAGGCAAGAACTCGCTCAGTACCACATGAAAAGCCTCCTTTTCCTCTTCAAACTTGCGCAACAGGGGAAATTGGTATTTAAAAAGTGAGTCAAACATTTGGGGCATTAGCATAAAACGAATATGGACGTACCTCAAATCAATTTGGCGACAAACACACTTGAGGATCATGGGGTAGTGGGAAGGGCCTTCTCTTATCCATGCGAGCAAAGCAACCTTCTTCAACTCCTGAGTAAGATAGTTGCGACGGCATTAATGCCCTTTACCACCACTTCTTGTAGGTGAGGAAAAAAGTTCCTCCTTTTCTGCATCACCTTGCCAGCCTCGACAAACCTCTAAATGTTTGGTGACCTTCTTGCAAGCTCTGCGGATTTCCTCGTCGTTCACCATAAACTTAACGGTGCGCCACAGCTCGTCTTTAGCAAAAGCCAAATCTCGAGAGCCAAAGCGAGTTCGGTTTGCCCTCTTGGGCCCTGACCTAGCCAGGAGGTCAGACAACTTGCTTGCAAAAGAGCAATGGCTTTGTCTTTTCGGCATTGCTATTCTCCAAGTTCTCTTTTCAGCTTCCAGTTGGGCAATCCTCTTCTTGGAACCCCCTTTCTCGTTTCCTTCATAACATGACGATGTAAGCAACTTCACAACAAGTTTGTCATTTGGATCCGAAGCTGCTGGGCAATCTGAGACGAGCACCAGCATTGGCCCGCCTCATCTTTTCGTCCTTCACCTTGGAGGTTTCTTCAACCTTCCGCCGCAATGCCTTGATAAGAGGGGGCAAGACAATCTTCTTGGGTTGTTTGGCTTCAGTGTTGATGCAACCGGAGCTTCTTTGGAAGGATTTGCAGATTGTTTTTGGGCACGTGCATCCGATGCAGATGGCTTTTTGGCCCCTTCACTTTGTCCATTTGCGAAAGATTCTTCGTCCGTTGCAGCTTCAAGGGTGGTATTGGATCCTGGTGCCTCGTGTCGGGGGCCGATTCTTGGTCCTAGCTCCATTTGGTCCTGCCTCTGTAAGCATGTTTTGATGGCCCAAATAGTGATGCTACGGTCTGTTTTAAACCAAAAGAGAGTTCTCTATCGTTATATGGTCTGAAAAGTAAAGCGGCCGGCCATTTTGGGACTAGCTCCATAGACATGGCTGCCGCCGACAAACCACCTCGAACGTCCAAATAGTGAGGCCATGCGACTGGAAACTCATCTGTAGAAGCAACAATAGACACAATTGGTTGGCCGGTTAGCATCTTTCGCGATACAGTTGGATAATAGAGCCACAAGAGTGGATGTACAGTTGGATAATAGAGCCACAAGAGTGGATATACGTACCGAAAAGGCCGATTTGACCGTTGGAGCTAGCTCCGGAGCTAGCTCCATTCCATTCTTTCGGCCGAATCAGCCAACCATTGCCATCATACACCATCTGATGGGGCAAACACAACGAATTGAAGACAACAGCAACCAGAGTGAGCAAACAATTTCAGATTTTGGCGCATACAAACGCCATGGTCGATCTTTTTTCTTACCAGTCGCTGTCGTACATCGTCGCAAGGGCAGCAGCCACATCTTTGTGGTGCTCTCCCCAATGATTCTCACAAAAGAATACTCCTCTCTTCTCGGGGCCATTGGCATTGTAGCGCCTAGACTTGCAAGATCTGTGTTGACACTTCTTTTGCGTTTTCTTGGTACATCCTTTTCCTTGGCATACACGTCTCCTTGGTCGACCATGGCCATCATCCTCACAATCAGAGTTGTCTGCAAATTTATGCTCAGTGACAACAGTCTCAACAGTTGCCACAGTGACCGGAGAGCATACCTCTTGTGGCCGGCCACCAATCTCAGCTGGTGGCCCATCAACGTTGATATACAAGCCATTGCCAGTAGGTGGCTTGTCCGGCACGTTGTTGCGAATGAGGTCAGCCGCCAACATGTCTGCGAACTGGACAATAGTCGTCTCTTTCAAGTAGTCGGGACCAGAGTGCTTTATCAGCTTCCAACAGTCGGTGATAGTCATGCCAATGATTGTAGTGGCAATTCGAAACCAGCCATCATGGGTGACCCAGCGCTTCTCCAGCTTCAACTCCCCTTGCCGAACATGGTTGTGGGTGTCGATGACATTGCTGTCATTGAAATATTCTGACAACACTGCTGGACGAGGCACCAGTCGCTCTTGTATTGTCCCAAGGGAATCAGCAAATTTCGCAGTGTAAGGCCGGCCTGGCTTTGTTGAACCGGCATTCTTGGTTGCTAAGAAGAGAAGAGTCTTCTTTCGGTTGTACCTGTAGCCAATAGCAATGAGATCATGTCCATTCGGTGTGTGGCACTCCAAGACAAGATAAGAGCCACTCGGCCACTGTTCCATCTTCTCCTCTATCTCTTTATTTGGGAAGAGCCGGGTGTTAGTTTTCATTGCTCCTGAATATGCATGACCATGCTCCGACATCCACTCTGCCACAGGAACACTGGTAAACCACGAGTCACCTTTGAAGCACTCTGGTGCCTGCCTTGCTTTTGCTTCTTGTCGAGATGGAAGCTTTGATCCACAATAGAGGCTGTCTTCAGCAAGCCGAATGGAACAGGAAATGGTACCTCCAAGCTTGGCATGCCTTTTCTTGTTCATGGCGATGGCTCCTTCCTGTATCTCTGCATAGATGATGACACCAGTCTTTGAACAGGCCACTGTTTTGAGCTCGGTTCCCAACGGTTCAGGCTTTCGATCGATGTACGAGAGATGGGGTATGTTGCCTGTCTTGGTTGTCTGTGGCTTGTAGGCACTCATTGACTCGTCCATTATCTTTCGGATGGATGCCGCGATCACTCGAGCACGCTTGTCATTGTATCCGTTCAAAATGCCTCGAACCATCGACCATGGGTCTTTCTTTTCCTTTGCATCCATATCTTGAAAGGCAGACGGAAACATGCTCTTGAGATCTTTGAATCGATAGAATGGCATGATTCCTTGGCCCTTGCATCCAAGATCGATCGGGTCAGTGACAGTCCAATGTAGCCTGCCTGACTCCTTCTCCCAAAGCTGATGGCCACCCAATCGGAAGGCTGCGGCGCTAATTAGAACACCGATAAACTTCCAGTATTCGTGCTCTGTCACCGGTTTGACCAGTTGCCTCTTCTTCTTCTTTCGATCCTCGTTCTCGACGTCGATCGCCTTGTTCATCAACACAACCTGCTCCTTGGGGTTGCCAGGCCACATGTACTGGAGGAGCTTCATGAATGGATACTCGTACGCAAGAGTGTCAATCGTTTCTTCGATCTTTTGCTCAGAGAACCTTGTGAAATCGAAACCAACAAGTCCAATTGTATCATAGTCTTCCATTTCCTCGGAGTCTGGTTCGGAATCTTCAACAATTTTCCACACGTAGGGCTCAGCTTCCCACACTTGAGTCAGCCCGTGGCTGGACATCTGAACAAGACGTTCGCTGCCATTGAATTGCACCAACCAGTGCTCTCCACAAGGGGACCTTTTTATGACCTTTCCCTTCTTTGGCTTCTTGTGCCTGCTATGGACAACTGCGCCGGGTTGAAGTGGAGGCTTTTCAGGAACAATGCTAACAGACCACCCCTCCTCCAACAGGACTTCCTTCTCGGCCAAGTATACATCCATCTTCAGTCGATGTTCTTCTTCCCTTTCGAAGTCTCGTTCGTCAGCCGCCTCCAGGTCTTCAGTTGGCTCATTGGGGATGGATTCGGTTGGTTCGTTGGGACTGGAAACGTTTGTTGGTTCTTGGCTCGAACCAGCCGAATCAGTCACAGAGTCGTCATCTTGAAAAGGAAAGCCGTCGTTGCTTGCTTGTTCCTCCTCACCCTCTACAATATGCATCGTCCAATCGTATGCAGGGTTTCCATCGATGTGGTTGGTGGCAACAACAACTAACAAATCATCAGAATCAGAATCGGAATCGGAAGAACCGCGACCAGAATCATCGTCGGATTCATTTCCAGACTCACTACCACTAGATGATTCAGTCAAAGATGTAGATATGCCTGCAGTCGGCTTTGGTGTGTTGATGACTCTGTGATTCAATGCTGCCCTCCTCTTTGGACGTGGAGGAGTTTCGATTTCATTATTTTCAGAGTCGGTATCACTGTCAGATTTGTTCTCATCGTCCGACGCTTCCGGTGGGTTTCCATGCTGCTCTTCATTGTCAGAGGTGTTGGTTGCTCCGGTGGGAGTAGGTCCTTGGAGATCGGATCGACTGAGCTGAGCCGAGGTTTTCACTTCTTCGGATTTGGTGCCATCGGCTTGTTCGAATTCAACCACCCAGGTATGTTTGTTGCCATCTTTCCTATCACCACGTAGAAGCTTGCCATGACGCTTGGGCTTGGCTCTCTCATCAACCCAGGTTCCTTTCACGAGGTTTGGCTTTCGGTGGCGTCCCATCTTGATCGATCGTTTTTGTGTCAGCCATCGTCCCTCTTTCGTTGTGTGGTTACAGCTTACATGTACCACGGAGTGACCGTCGGCAGCACTCGATTGACGCAAAATATTGACACATGCAAGCGGACCTATCCGTTGTCCATAGGCAAAGCAGCCAGCCGTCTTGTGTTTGGCTTATCATTGTCTTCATCGACAAAATCTTAAGAGAGAAGCAACATCTTGCCATACTCGATTTGTGAGCTTCGGAGGGAGCGTTTTTGGCACGCCTGGAGCTAGGCCCAGTCAGGTCACGAACCCCCTGTACTGCTTTTTGCACAGTGACAAAGGGTTCTTTCCATTTTCCGAAAGGATCGAAGTGCAATCCAACACCACGACAACCACAACTGCAACACCACAAGACAACAAGATGGCCGAAACAGCGGCTAGTTGGATATGACCATGCTGCATGTATGTTCGAACAGTGCTAGCTAGCTACATATCAGCAGCACTTGCCAACCAGTGACAGCAATAGGTGTGTTTGTGTGGTTTGGATAGACTGATGGATTTTGATTCGTTGACATCAGCTGTCCGCTGACGTTTGCCGAACACGATCTGGTGAGTAAATGATGGTTGACGATGCTTGACAATGGCGGCAATCAATATGTGCTACTACTTGTTATTACTACCAACTAATACTGTGTTCGTTCTTGTTCTCTGTTCTCGTGGTTATATTCGTTCAGATTGAATCATTCGGCGGCGCTCAAAAGAAATCTTGAGACATCGGAAAATGATCAAAATCCTCTTCTTCGTCAATAGGGCGAACAGTGCGACGAGGGTTGCGACGAGTGCGACGAGGAACGGGACGGGCAACAGGACGGGCAACAGCATGGTTGTTGATGTTGGTGGCACCCTCCGTGGAAGCATCTTCATCAATTTGGGAAAGGTCCAAGCCAGCATATGCCTGAGCAAAAGCCTCTTCTTCGTCATCCGAAGGTTTTTCTTCGTCATCCGAAGGCTCTTCCTCTGCATCGTCGTCCGAAGGCTCTTCTTCATCGTCATCCGAAGGCTCTTCCTCCGATTTGATCTCTGCAAGTTCGGTGGTGGACGACTCATCATCATTATCATTGCTGGTATCAACCAAGTTGATGACTGGCCCAGCACCAGGAGTGGGAGAGTCAATGGCGTCAGGAATTCGAGGAATGCGAGGGAGGTGAGGGAGACTGTTACCAATGCGGCTGGAAGGCACCATGCTGATGGGAACAACTTCAAATTGCATTGGACCCTGGTCGGGAATCAAGGTTTGGATCGTGACAAGTTGGGTGCTTCCATCACGGGGATCAACCACGCTGATGATGATCTGGTCGGCTTGAATCTTGCTGTTGTTGTTAGACATGGTTGCTTTCGGAATCAACAAGAGCTGAAGAAGTGAGCCAAATGCTGTTGTTGCCAAGACTTCATCCAAGCTTGCCGTTGGCACAGCCCGCCGGCAGAACGTTCGTCGGATTTTTGCAGGAAGGAATTTTATTTGGTCTCATTCAAAACAAACAAGGAGCGGCGGGAACTTGCTTGGTGCCTCTTCTTTTTGGCGGAGTGGATGATGTAAGTAAGAAGATAGATCCGATGCGGCTTCATTGATTACTTGCATGCTCAACAATCTGCATTTACTTGTTAATCAACCGAACAGAAACAATGGATGCGGCTGCTCTCTTCATGGTTGATCGGATGCTGGAGGTTACCGGTGCTGTCACCACCTTCGTCTTTGGCATCTTCGTGGACGTAATCCAGTTTTGGTTTGTTGTCAATGGCCAATTGCTCTTTCACTTTGCGCCTGAGAATCTCAACGAAACTGTCCTGAGCTACTGCAGCAACCATCAGCTCTTCCCTCGGGAGCTAGCTCCACCTCTTCCAGCTTCATCACCATCACCACCACAAGCGTCATCACCACAGCCACTGCTTCCCTATTGGACTTGCATCCCTGATTTTGTCGACAAGGACAAAGACTGTGTGCTCCGTCGAGTCTCCTTTCGGTTCAAGTATGGATATTGCCCCACCGCGTATCATGTACAAGGAGACTTGGCTTTGCAGAAGTTTGGCGACACTGGTCTGCATCGTCTCAAAGTCGATGCTTACTTCTCTGTTTTAGGAGGTGATGGCAAACGAACGAAAGGCGAGAGCTTCAACTACCCAATCCTATTGCCAGTGCACTGTCGCTACACGGAGCTCCACAAGGTTGGCTTGAGTGAAAAGTCTCAACAGAAGCATTTTCTTTGGAAGATCGAGTTCTTCGACAACGATGACGCGCTGGAGTCCATTCAGTTGTTTGTGAATGTAGCCACCTATCCAGAAGCCATTGCCGAATGCTTCGCTTTCCGGGGCACGCTTATTGAGTGTTTGAATGCTACATGCGAGTGTACTCCAGAGGAGAATAAGGAGAAAAAAGAGTCAGGCAGTGAGGTAAGTGGGCCACAAGAGCCGATGATTTGGTGCCCTTGTATTGGCTCCGGTTGAGCTTGTTGCTGCGAGAAGTGTTGCTAATCGAGCGTTTGTATCATTGGCAGTGATCTGTATGAAATGCTGGACGACTGGAGCATATTACAAGGCTTGACCGTATGGAGCTAGCCCCATTTCGCAACTTATGAGGAGAAAAGTCCACCATGGCGGGCTTCTGTCGCAATTTCAGCTACGGCAGCTATAGGATGGCACAACTAACAGTTTGTAGAGTAACTTTAGCAGAGTTAATGGTTCAAAGATGAGCTTAATCGGCCATAAATTGATGGAGATATAGCCATTTCAAGTGTGTGACCAAATGGTTCTAGGTGGCTCCATCCGGTCATGGTCAGACACGAGGCACTGGAGATCCAGATTGAGAATTGGACTCCAATGAGCTGTCATCTTTGGAAGACGCAGTTGCGACTTCTGATCGCTCCTCTTCGTCATCGTCATTGGGCTGTTCCACCATCACAGTTGCTTCA